ACGCCAGCAAGTACTGACATCATTAAGGAACTTTGATCGAAAAGTAGTAGTCTTCACGGAAGCTGCCATGGCCACTGACGCAGTTAGCTCACGAAATGTGCTCATGCGTGGCGTCATTTTCGATTTGGCTCTTGATATCATCCGCCTCTTATTCTCATCGGAAATGTCTGCGTCACAGAGTGTACGTTAAGAGTCCTTTTTCTTTGTCTTTTTTTTTCTTTTTTCTTTGCTATGATTTTTTTAAATGTTTGAAGCATTTAAGCTCAGTAGACAAATCTAACTTTTACTCAACTGCCTCTCCACAAGTAAAAGTAGGTAAGCAGTTGTTGTTGTTTTTAGGGAAGTAGGGAAATGACTGCCGCTTGGACTCAAAACAAAGAAGCTATTTTAAAGAAAAGTAATCGTGGAAAGCAGGGAATGGACGACTGGGGTAAGAAAGAGAAGGGTAGATACGTTATGTTGTAGTGTGGTCTTAGGTCACTTAAACATACATGTCCTTGCATTTGTTTAGACAGATTGATAGAGTTATGAATGAATCTTGTTTTTTACGTCATGTAAAGGGACAATAATGAAGTAGGCCTCTGACCATTTTTTAGTCTACATGGATTATTGTACAGTATTTTATTTCACTGTACTGCTTCATACTCCAACACAAGTTTTACATAATATTGCCTTGTTAGTATGGATGTTTTCCGAAGTATGTCCTGCTCTTGAGGACTAATCGGCAATTGTTCGTCTGAGTCTGATATGTGTATTGCCTGTACCATATCGCACAAATACAATAATGTAGGCCCTACATGTACGGGCCAATACTGGAACACAGCTGTTCAAACCATTATCAGTCACACTGTTGCCAGAAGAAAAAAACGTAATCCCTGTGCTCATCTTCGCTATGTTACGATGGCGCTCATTTTCATGCTCTTTCTATGCACTAAGGGGATCCAAAGATAGTATTTACCGCAAGGTCTTCATGTTCAGGTTAGTCTCAGAAGTCCCTTTACTTTCTCTAAGAGTAAGACGCAACTTGAACTAAGTCCAGGCATGGTAGAACGCCACAAGATTGCTCAGGTGAAAGCGTAGGCCTATTTGGGAGTCATCGCCGATGCTCATCACCCATATCATGACAAGATGGGAATAACTACGCCCACGTCAACGTAGAGGGGCTGAATGGTTGAAAGAGGCAGCGACGACTTTGGTTAAATATGGTACTGTAAAATGCAAGACATCCGAAGGAGCAGCGAATGGGTCAGCGTCACCGACACACTTGGCCATACTCGGGTACCGTAGTGTAAACTTAGCTATTAGGCAGAGAATGTCGTGAGTGGCCAGAGGGGGCAGCCAATGCCGAGGTAGAGACGCTGATAGAGAACAACAGTGAACAGATGGATCAGTACAGCGTGGGGTCAAATCTGGATGGGCTTTCAGCGCCACTGTTTAATGGGGATCATGTACAGAGAGAGCAGACAGGGGCAACTAGTATAACCACGTTCAACATGTGCATGGATATGAAAGCCATCACAGATGGAGGCCTTAAACTGGATTTTAAGGCGACAGGGCATCAGTCTGGTCACTGACACGATGAGTACCATCGAAAAAGTGAAGAAGCGCATGATGATGTATGCAGTCTGGCGAGAGGCGATGCGAAGCAGCAGACTCACCACAAAGATTGTATGGATCTTCAGCCCTGGTCATTGAAGAGTTCGAGGCAATGAACGTGCTGATAAACTAGCCCGCCAGGTTGAGAATGGCGGCACCATTCAATTAGGCCTATAATATGTCCACCAACAGTCATAGCAGCACTTACAGCATGGTTCAATTACCACAGAAAAGATGAAGGCTCCATATCTCACACAATGTAAAGACTGAGGGGAGCTGGTTACTCAAGATGGCCGGGGAGAGGTACAGCAACCTGTGTGGAAAAACCAGAAAAATATCTAATAGCTGCTTATAACTGGCACGATCAGCAAACCGCATCCCTTCATTGATCTTCTGGAGAGGAGGGAGTAAGCAGCTATGACATTTTACCGCCTGCAATGATAGGCTCTCCGATTCTTTTCTCCAACTAAGTAAGCGGGCTAAGTAAAAACACATATGCAGCCAATACCATAAGCCAAGAAGCTACAATTTAAAAAAAAAGAAAATTACAAATTTTTGGCTTGTGAAATGTTATCAGCTGGCCGACGAAATATATAGTCCCATTATATTAGTAAAGTTAGAAAAGGGAAAAAGGTATATATTGATTCTGTAAGACGGAAGTATGATACCTACAATTGAAGAATGCAATAATTAATTAAGTAAATAGCAATTTTATTTGGCTAACGGTCCAAAAACACCAGAAAAGACGACGCCGACAATATAAACAAGGGTACAGCAACACTTTCCGGACAACCATTAGCGAGTCTCATAACATAAACTGCCTTGGTTGTTACCACTACGGGATTTTAAAATGCCCTGACGTTAGTGATCTCTCTATAAATGTATATATATCTATGACTCCCGATTGCAACCCACTTCTCTTTGCCATAACAACAAAGAAAGGTAACTCCTAATGTTCAATCAAAAAGTAGTTTCGTTTTCCATTTATAAATGATGAAGGCTGATGGATGACTATCAGGTAAATTCAGGTAATTTGAGATCAAAGAAGAGAGTGAGAACATAGTTAGGGAGGACTTCCGTAACGAGCGATCACTATGAGACAGAGCAGAATTGAGGGGTTAGGGTTAGGCCTCTTCTTTATTGTGTTTGATGGGGTGGTCGCTCGTTGTCGTTGAAGTCCTTCTTCTTTGGCCTTTGGTTGGTTGTAATAATGAGATCTAAACTGTCAGTCTGTGATTGAACGTCTCACATTTTCAATGATTTACTTGGTAGAATACCTCCTACACGAGATAATAAGAATATTACTTTATGACATGATAAAATAAACGTTGTTGTATGTTGTAGTTTCGTTCGTTATACGGGGTCCCCACTACAGCTGGATCGGGCAGATCGCCCGACTTGATCGCCTGAAACTGAAAACAAACATGTTTGTTTTTGAGCCGATCCCAGCCGTAGTGGGCACCCCGTATTAAATTCAAGAGTAGGGGGTTTCAGAGGGACCTGACCTAATAAGGGCAAGGGCATGCCCCCCTGAATTATAAATCCTAATTTGATGTTTTGCTATTAGTTTGCATCCCTGCTCTTTGTGTAGCCTATTTCAAATAGTATTTGGTCATCAAGACTTCTGGATTTCTTCTCTGGATGTAAACAAATGGATCGTGGACTTTAACGAATGGAACTACAAGATCACCCACCACCCTAGCCCTAACCCAACCCAAACCCTACTGCCTTAACCTTAGCCTCTACCCTAACACTCTATTCTTCTATACTGTATTTCATTTTCATAGTGGTCGCTCGTTACAGAATTCCTCCCTTTATTCTGACCATTCTAAGTTTATTTTCTATGGTTTATAAAAATGAGCATTTTCAGTTTGGTAAGGAATTAATTTTGAATTTCGCCTGGGTGGCAACGAAAGCCTACTCTTATTGATTTAGAACCACCGAAGACAATCTTTTTGTGATTTTTGTTTTGGTAAGTGTTTCAAGGCGCACTTGCAACTGCAATGAATGCGCAAGGGATAGATCTTTAACGTGCACAACTTGCACACGAGACTGAGATTTTTTACCCTTATCTGAGAAGGCCAGGTGTCAAATCTTACCTACCCTAAGTTCAGGGGTATGGCTGAAAAACAGCAGTTAGAAGGAGCCAAGGAGTAGCTGCAAAAAGGCAGCAGAAAGAATCAGGAGCCCAGAGGGGGCAGAAAGTGGAGACAAAAGCAGACGACAGAACATGGTTAGAGAGCAGGAAGAGGCAAAAGGAGAAAATTTTTTAGAGAAGAAGAGTTTCCGTTGCTGTCAGGTTTCGAACTTGGGAAATATCGAAGGAGAATTGTGAACACTGTACCTCTTGACCACAAGATTCCCCATTCTAATTCTTAAAAAAATATATATTATTCCGCGCAAGGCTTGCTTTGCAGAACTGCATTGACCTCTGCAGAAGAAGTAGGGCCTTTGTTGAAAATTCATAAAATTTGTAGGCCTGCAAAACAAATGGAATGATGTAATTTTAATGTAAATATGTAAAGATAGTGATGGTTGCAATTGATTTCCTATATACGACTATTTATGTGTTTGTTATCCCATCTTTGGAAATACGGTTGAACCCACCCTTTTAACGGAAACCTGTGTAAGATTGAAACCTGTCAAAGTGGAATCACCTCGCTCCCCGAGTGATAAATCACTCTATTATTTGCTGTATAAAACGTAAACCTGCCTAACGCCAATGAAAACAGATTTTTAAGAGAAATTCCTTCCTTTTGAACGATTTTTACCTGTCTAAGTCTAAGATCACAGAAAATGCTTTGCCTAATCAGCCCGTGATATATTTATCATAGCCCGTGGCTCTGAGCTGTTTGCGCTTGATAGCTTTTGTTACCGTGAGTATCTATAGAAGACCCATAGGCTGTGTGTATACAGATTTACATTGGTACACGCTATATAATGTGATGTTTATTAAACTGCAAGGTAGCACATTTTTACCATTGTTTCAATTCTCTAGATGTTGATGTGTGTAATTTTTGGAAACATGGCAATGGAAAGATAATGACCATTTTACTTTTCTCACAGGTCAAGACAAGAGAAATGTCTGAAAGCATATTAGTGGGGCAACTCAGTGAAATCATCAGAGTTGGTGGAAGAAAGCGGCTTACTGTTCGAGGCCGTGATATATTTATCATAGCCCGTGGCTCTGAGCTGTTTGCGCTTGATAGCTTTTGTTACCGTGAGTATCTATAGAAGACCCATAGGCTGTGTGTATACAGATTTACATTGGTACACGCTATATAATGTGATGTTTATTAAACTGCAAGGTAGCACATTTTTACCATTGTTTCAATTCTCTAGATGTTGATGTGTGTAATTTTTGGAAACATGGCAATGGAAAGATAATGACCATTTTACTTTTCTCACAGGTCAAGACAAGAGAAATGTCTGAAAGCATATTAGTGGGGCAACTCAGTGAAATCATCAGAGTTGGTGGAAGAAAGCGGCTTACTGTTCGAGGCCGTGATATATTTATCATAGCCCGTGGCTCTGAGCTGTTTGCGCTTGATAGCTTTTGTTACCGTGAGTATCTATAGAAGACCCATAGGCTGTGTGTATACAGATTTACATTGGTACACGCTATATAGTGTGCTTCACTGTATAATAATATAATGATACTGCTATCATTTACTTGTTCCATCTCTTCCAATTTCCAAGTAACCATTTGCAGCTGGGTGAGCTTGAGGAAAATGGGAACTGTAGGTATGTTATATCTTGAGGATATGTGGCCTTTAGTAACAAATGTATTCAAGTTACCCCTTAACAAGCTTTTTATGCTTTACAACTTGTTTCAGTGATTACTATATTTTTTTAAGAAAGTCATACAGCCAAAAAAATCCATCTCAGTTTGATTCATTATCCTTGTTATTGATGTCTTGAAAGGCTTGCACTTTTATTTTTATGAAGTAGATGTGCATCATAAGCATAGAAGACTGATTGCTAGGAGGTAAACTATTTTCATGCTTTCAAATAATATTTTCATACTTTTCACCATTAAAAATCATTAAAAAACAATTTCCTCTGGTGTGTTTGCAATTTTAACTAAGTGTAATAAATCTGTTTAACGATACCACTTTTTTCATTTAATAATAAGCTCTCAAATGATGGTTATATCATGATGATAGAATGATGCTTGTTCTGCTCTCTCATATTTGCCAGATGCTGGTGGTCCTCTGCACATGGGAGACATTGAGGTTTGTAATGAACTTTTAATTCCCAGTAATAATAATAATAATAATAATAATGTAGATCATTTCTATTCCACCCACTCCCGTATGAACACAGCTCTAGGCACTTCACATAAATGCAAGCACGAACAATATTCATGTACACACGCGCGCACACACAAACACATACACACACACACACACAAACACATACACACACTAAGGCACACATTACACGCACACATGTGCACACACATTCATGCCAAACACACACACACACATCTACTTGCTCATCACATGGGCACGCTTACACATTGTTACGAAATGAGCACATTTACAAATTCACATAATAAAATAATACAGTGGAGTCCACTTATAATGAGTCCTGAAATAGCGAGAAGTCTGTTATAAAGACATTATTCTAAAACCCCGATTTTTTCTCTTCTTTATCTTTGTAAATAAAATACTGCTATAGCGCAATCAGACAAACAAGCGAGTTGGTTAGAGCGGAATATAGCTGCTGCTGTGCACAGTGAATAGGTAAATTATACATTTATAATGTAAGACCTCGCCAGTTGAGAAACTTGTTGATGATCTAGCGAAACAAAGAATGGGAGAGCCCACATGTGTGTCAACAATGAAGGCCGGGGAGAATGAGCGGGAAGGGTGTGGCATGCACTGACAAGTAGAACGCATCGCGTGATAGGCCAGCCTAGTCTAGATTATCTAGGCCTACCATGCCTCTCACTTCTCCGATGCGGGGATGGAGAGGTCACAATGATGTGATGTATGGAGCGAATGTGTGACATGCGCAAGCAGACGGAACGCACCACAGGGTGTGATGAGGTGGGGGACAACACAGCGGACGAGTTAGTCAAGAGCGCTTTCTTTCTGATCGCCAATGCCAAGCTGTCAAAATCGCTAGCGCTAGAGAAAGAAACCTGATTCAATTTTTGATCAAGTATGACCTAGAGGTCATGTATAAAAAAAATCATCATCAGGGGAGTTAACAAAAAGAAATAAATAGAACACCCAACTCATAGATTAGGCCTACTTTATTATTTCTCTTGAATTTATTACTGGATCCCTTATGAGGAGAATCCTGCTATAACGGACATTTACCAGCAGTCCCCTCCCTCTTGTTACAACAGGATTCCACTGTATACGCAATGTAATTAGCAAAATACACAAATGGATACATTGTCGTTTACATAACATTGTACGGTACTGAACATGAATCTACTGACATAAAAATGATGTCATTAAATGTGTGTTTAAAGATATTTTAGATTTAGACTCAGATGTTTGTATGTCTCACGGGTAAGGAAAGAGAGTTCCAAACTGATGGAGCGAAGTGGGCAAACGATCTTTCCGCTTACCTTTTACCTCCTTTTCTAGGAACTCTTGAAAGATATTGATCCAGTTCAGTGGAACTCAGTTTCGGTTCAACGATCTCGGATTCAACGAAAACTTGGATTCAACTAAATGAGCTGGATTTCCCAATTTTTCTATTTATAAAAATCAATAAAATAACTTGGATTCAACGAAAACCTAAATGAGTAAGCTCGGATTCAACAAAGTCGCTTGCAGGGTGAACTGCTTCATGCGACCAATCAGCAGCCTCCTTTCATACCAACACAGGCGTTGTAATCACGCTCCCATGTCCTAGCGCGTGTTGGGGTCAGTAGTGCGGCCAGCACTCGTGTGACTGTGTGTGTGTGTGTCTGGGGGATTGAGGGGAGGGGGTACAAACAGTCCGGGTATGGAACTTCAGTAGAGAAACAAATGCGACACAGTTATTTTTTTCACCAGCTACTGATCAATATATTACAGTGATGAGCTAATCTTGACATAGATACAAAATGATTTGCGCGCTGGACTGTGGAATCAAACGTTGCTGTATGCTAGGCTCTACACAACAACGTAACTTGTTTAGTGAACAAAACGTTGTAAATGATAGCTGACACAAGCATGTATTTGAACAAATCGGCCCATATTGCAGTGTGTGCTTGGTGGAGTTTAGTGTATTTTCCTGGAATTTTCCAGCACTTCTTTGGTAGCAAAGAAATGAAAATGCCTCTCATTTGAAACCAAACTACTTTTAATTGAGAAAGTCGAATACGTTATACATTACTTGCTCGTTACCTGTAATTATCTACACAACAACCTCATATACTTGCCATAACGAACAGTCGGATTCAACAAAATTGAATGCCAGGCCCGACGACTTAGTTGAATCCAAGTTCCACCGGACATACGATTGGGAGTTTATAGATATAATCTACTTTCACTAAATGAGACCTCTCTTTAACAAAATTTGTAAAGCAATCAGAGTTCTGTTTGAAACACAAAATGGTGCTCTGATCCATAGAGGGTAATTGTACCAGGCTTGTTGGTTTTGTTCTTTCATACTCTAAGATGTCAGCAAAGAGGAGGCAGTGTTCCTGTAGCCGTTTTTGTGTGATGGGATTCTAAAATTGAAACCTTGAAATACTATTGGGGGGGGGGGGGACAACATGTTCATTTATTAACTGTCAGAACTAGTCATATTATTAGTGACTGTGATCTTAATCATCCAGTATTATGAATTTGCTCTTCAGGAAATGCCAGGATATACCTGTGTTGTCTGTCCATGGCACCGATACAAGATTACACTACGCTCTGGGGAAGGGCTCTACCATGTGAGTTTAAAGAAATTGACAACTGCTATTTTGTCAACAGTGCTAAAAGTGGCATCTGTGGCCTTGTGGTTAGGCTCTCAGACTGGCAATTTGCATTTTACGATACCACATGTGCATATTATACAGAGACAGATGTGTTTGAAACTCTAATTGTAAAAATGTCTTTTCTGGTTAGAAAAAATCAGAATTTAAGACAGGTTGTATCATTTTTTAACTCCATTGGATGAATGGAAGAGGAGGAGGAGAAGAAGAAGAAGAAGTAATCAAACAATTTCTGATTATATTATCCATTTTTATAGATTTAAGCGCGTCAAAAATTTATCCCTTCTTTGTTGGTTGATTTCACAGTCCATTGATCCCCACAACCTGTCCAAGCCTCCCGTGCTGTGTTCTAAAGGTGTCAAGCAGAGGACGCACCTAGTGACCTTAGAAGGGGATGATGTCTATGTGACCCTGTCCACAGGTGACCCTGCTCATACAAAATTGGAGTCTGATCAGTACAACTCTCCGGCCAGCTGACCACAGGAATTATATCTGTAATTTTTTTTAGATAGCCTACTCTGTATGAGACAAAATGCTATTTTTTGTGTCATATGTATTTTTTAGATTTGCTTTGGGCTTTGCTTTAAAAATGATTTAAGGATTTTCAAGTTTTTACTCCTGACTACCCAGTACGAATATCCAAAGTTCAAGAAAGCCCCTTGAGGTATTTGAACCGGCGTAGCGTCTTTTTTAGTCCAGTACAGTCATCATCATCATTGCCTTTCTCACCCTGCATCAGAATATGGGCCACAAACACTTTTCTCCTTTCCTTATCCTGGGCTAGCATCTTGATATTATTTCACGTCTTCCCACTTTCCAGTACAGTACCAAACAAGATAATCCTTCTTGATTACTTGATTCCAGAACTGTGATGTTTAATTTCCCTATGAAAATTACCCACCATAAGAAAAGCTTACTTTGTGCAGACCCTTGACAGGGGGCTCTCGTGGCCTAGAGGTTAAGGTGTTAGCTTCTCATTCAAAGGTCCCGGGTTCGAATCGGGGTAGCGACTGAAAAATTTTCTTCTCTAAATTTGTTTCCTTTCACCTCATTTCCTGCTCTCTAGCAATGTTTTGTCGTCTGCTTTCGTCTCCTCTTTTTTCCCCCACCCCCTCACCTCCTTTGCCCCTTCCTCTGGGATCCTGATTCTTTCTGCAGCCTTTCTACTGCTACTCCTTCGCTTCTTCTTACTGCTGTCTTTCAGCCACACCCCTGATCTTCTGGTAGGAAAGATCTACACCTAGCCTTCTCGGACAAGGGCGAAAAATCTCGGAGGGCCCGTCTGCAAGTTGCGCTCGTTAAAGATCCTTTGGTGGTCTAAAATCGATAAGAGTAGGCTTTGGCTGCCACCCGGGCAAAATTCAAAATTTCCTACCAACTGAAAAATATTAGGTGTGTCCCGCTCGCTCATTTGACCTTATGCAGTTGCGAGCACCGTAAAACACTTTACAAAAACAAAAGACTCTTGACAAGAAAGGTATATAGTATATATATAATATAATATATGTATGGTTTTTCTTAAATTAATTAATGAGTGAAGCAAGACTATTTTCTAGGATTCTGCATACAATTTTATCTAAATATTCATGATGAAAAATTTAATATAATGTCTGTATGTTTGTCAGGAAAGTTTGAACCAATTATGGTGTTTTTATAAAGTGGAAAACCCGAAACGTCTTTCATTCAATGTGTACCAAAGTGTGATCAACCATGTGACATTGATGTTAAGAAAAAAAATGATTTCTTAAAGTTAATGCTCGCTGAGTTTCCGCTTTAGGATTGTGAATGATTTTATCTCTCTTTGTATCTTCTTTATGTTACTGTAGTGTTCTTGTACTTTGTATATATTGTCCTCCAAACTGTGCTTATGCATAACAAGAATCTTGTGGAAACAAGCTAACAAGTTTGATTGTCATTGTGTAAGATATTTTTTAGATGTGAGTATTAGTTCTCATAAATTATATTTTACTTGCCTCTATCTTTTTATTAGCTGGTCCTCAACCGCAACTGTAGATATAATATAGCCTTGAAAGGGTTTAGTGCCAGTGGCATTTACCCCTTCAACCCCAGCAAGATTTTGTCCTCTGACAAACTTGCCCCAAGTCTGTTATGTTAGTAGTCCTACAGACTTCAGACAACTTAAGAATTAACCAGGACAACAAGGATGTTGACTGGGAAACGTGTGTTTATTGTTTCAATGATTGCAAAACTGCTGGCACTGTTGTGTACAGCAATGATTTACTTTAATTAAGCTTTATTATGGACAATTATATAACTTCCCTACTTTTTGAGATAAATTTTAATTGTCCACTTATTACGACAAGGGATGTAAAGCGTAGCTTTTAGAGTAATTGGAATTCCAACTTTAGGGCTTGGTACATCAAGTTCATTTGAGGTGTTGTATTCTATGAATGATGTCCAATTCCAAAACTTTGAATCAATTGAATCTGTGTGTTTGCTTTTAACACTGGTACTAAAATAACAAAGTAGGAAATTTGAATTCTAAACAACCGTAATGGTTTTACAAATAAGTGTAAAGGGTTGGAGTCTAGTGTGAGTTGCAAGTGTAATGGCCTTAGTAGCCCTTTTCGATTTCATCCCTACAGAGTGTTTTTATTGGGCTTTTTAATCACTCGGCCATCTACTAGTGCATGGTGCGTTTGCCTGAGAGCTCACTGCTGCTGTGCGAGGGAGCACAGGATTGCTCGAGGCAATATCCTGCTGGGTAGGTGGGCATGAGAACTCGACCTGTGACTCTGTGCCGGTGGACTGATTATTGGCATGGTCACTGCGCTGAGGTTGATTGTCTTGATCATCTGGTGAGGATGGTTGGGTAACTGGGATGTGATAGCTCTTGCGCGGAAAAGGAGAATTGCGTCAAAGGCTTGTTCCATCTTCAGTCGTCACATCATATGACCTTGGATTGTCATATTTGCTGATGACAGCTGCCTTTTCCCAGTGCCCAGGGTGGATCCTGACTTTTACTGGCTTTCCAATTTCAAATGGTAATCTCTGCCTAGTCTTCCTGTCATAGTAGGATTTGGCTTTTGTTTGGATTTATTTCAGCTTCTCTTTCATGTCGTTTTGCTTGGATGTTGGATTCAGACCTGCTGGTACAAGGTCGCTTAGCCTACGTCCCATAAGCATTTCTGCTGGAGAGTAGTCCAAGCCTGTAACTGGAGTATTCCTGTATGCCAGAAGTGCAGCATTAGGATCCTTTGCTTTCTTGAGGATGTCTTTGAAGATCCTGAGGAAGCGCTCTGCTTGTCCATTTGGTTGGGGGTATCTTGGACTGCTGGTTATGATTCTGAAGTTCCAACTCTTTGCAAACTCTTCCATTTCCAGACTCCCAAAAGAATTGTTGTCCGCTATGACTTGTTCAGGGGTCCCATGTCTTGCCAAGATTGGTTTGAGCCCTGTGATGACTGCTAGTGTTGTCTTTTGCTTTAACTCAGTAACTTCTGCATATTTAGAAGTAGTCGACAACTACAGGAAAATCTTTTCCACCATACTGCCCTTAATTTTATCCAAGGTGCATCTGAGACAGGGTGTGGTATCTAGATAACTTTGGGGTATTTGCTTATAGAGTATCGGATCGATCAGCAATGTTCACAATTCTGAAACTGATAAGATGAAAGACATGTAAACTCACATAGACTAACAAGCATCACAATGTACAGTCATCTATGCTCCCCCAATTTCTTTGCGATACAGATGTGATTTCAGGCCACACTTGTGAGAGGCAAAGACTGAGAAAGAAAGTTAGACGGGACAGTCGTAAACAAAAGAATAATTCCTGGTATCAGGTATGAAAAATGAAGTGGAAGAATTTGAACCAGTAACGTATCTTGTTGACAAGTAAACAAACAAAAGTCCACAAAATGAAACCAACGACTGTGCTGAGCACAAAAACATAGGCTGACAATCGGACATATCAACAGGGTATGGTGAACCAACAAGGAGGTGAAACACCAGTCGTGGTAAACGTAGTCATGGACTGACAACTGAACATAGAATCAATTCGTGCTTCATGTCCATGGGCTAGGTGCGTGAACCATAATGTCACTTGTATTGTATAATGGGGTTTCTGATCTAGTTGCACGTTTCGTGACAGATAAAGTATATTTTTTTTAAAGCCAGGTTTGTTGAATGGTTGTAGGGCTCTCAGGGCTCGTGGTTCTCGCCATATATGGGTGTGGTCGGTGCAGTAGTACGCTCTGCCGCAACATTTTTTAATGTTGGTTCTGCCGATGTGGTAATAGCTGCGGGGGGCTCATTCGCCATGGGTGCAACTGCTTGTTGTGATGGACTATCACCGTTTATGGGCACCCCTTCAACGCTGGTGTCGGCAGGTGTAGGCGGTTGCACAGGTGCCGGTGATTGACAAGGCGTGTCTTGGGGGATCAGGAGACGCGTTGGTCTGGTGCACTAAGGTGTGAGCATGGGACGTTGGAATCATGGCTAGGGGGTGATCTTGTTATCACGGATAGGTAGGGCCTACTTGCGGAGGAATTTCCTGTTTCGTAGTGTCACTCTGCCCAATCCATCCACTCTGATGATGTACTCTTCAAACTGTTGAACCTCTACCACGATGCCTGTTTTGTCCCATTTAGTGGGGAAAGGGACCTGTCTGGTTCTGAATACGGACGCAATCGCTGACTACCAATGGAGGTAACACCCTGGTATGTGCAGACAGTCTTTCGGCATCCCTCGTGTAACGATTCCTGAGGGCTTTTTCTCTAGAGGATAGGGTCTCTTGCCACGTCGGATGGGGAAGGTACTTCTCAGGGTGAATGGGAAGGAAATCGCGAATGGGTCGGTCAAATATGCACATGGCAGGGGATAGTCGGGTATCCCTGTCTGGGATATTCCGGTATTGTAGTATCGCACGCTGGAAGAGGGTGGTGTTGATGCTGCCACCAGGGCCCGTATTGTCGACAATCTTCCGTTTGACAGTTTTAACTCCGATTTCAGCCCGACTGTTGCGTGTGGAAACGCCACTGATGACAGTCGCTGGTTTACTCCCCAATCCCTGAGAAAGGTTCTGGTGGCCAGCGAAGTGAACTCAAGGCCTCCATCAGAGGAAAGTTCATCGCTGATACCATAGGTAGCAAATGTGCGACGCAAGCTGGATATGAGTCCTTGTAACTCATTGGCAGCCTTTTCTACAATTGGCCAGTTGCTATATCTGTCGACTTTGACCAGGTAGTTGTGGCCTGCATGATGAAAGAAGTCGGCACAAAAACATTGAAACGGGTACTAAGGTTGTATTGGCGGAGTTGATGGGGCATTCGGTTGTGATGGCGCCATTCGGTGGCAGGATGAACAATGGAGACGCATTTCGTTAATGGCAGAAGTCATGCCCGGCCAAAAGAATGAGGCATTCGCGCGGGAGCATATTTGAGACACACCCTGGTGGGCAAAGTGTAGTGATCGCAGAACCTTGTCACAAAGGCTAGGGGGGTGACAATGCGGTCATTATAAAGGACCACTCCGTCAAAAGTGTTCAAGTTGTCTCCATATAATAAACTCTTGAGTTCGTCCGGGGGGTCACTTTTCATCTGAGAGAATCCGTTCTCCACAAGATTAAGTAGAGTAACTTGACCACTTGCGGCCACGAGCGAACATTCCCCCTAGCTAGCACTGCTTCTGCACTAAGAGATTCCCAACTTGATTTTTGTGGAGAAAAAAGCTGCAGGAAGGGCTCTGACCTGGCCGGGAATTTAAAGACTTCAATTATAGGGTGCACAACTTCGGCGTACCACTTGGCGGCCGGCAGCCCTGGGTGCGGCCGACGACGAGCCAACGGTGCGGCCACCTGACTTAAGTGTGGCCGAATCCATGACCGTTATGCGGTCTACTTTTGATCAGAGCATGCAAACAAAATGGAAATCAATGACAGCGTAGATCTATGCAAAAAAGTGCAAGGATGGTAGATCTAGATCTAGATTACGTCTACTCTTGATAAGAACAGAACGGACAAGTCTCACGTCTCTGGCCTCAAGGTACGATCTCCACCGCCATGCTGACCAAGTGAATCCCCACTCTCGTGCATAGTGTCTGGCTTTCCTTCCACTTCAGCCAATGCTGGCATTTCGTTTCCAGTTCCGACCATTTTGCAGTCCTCCACCTCTTCTTCATTCATCTCACGCATAGCATATTATTCTCTTTCTACTCCAACCACTGGTCTTTTGTGTGTTCCCATCTCCGTCACTCTCAAGCATGTCTTTTCTTTCTGTTTCTTCTGCTTCAACCACTTGTCTTTTGTTTCATATGCCTTCATTGTCAGCAGCAACACTGTTTCTATTTCTCTCCGTCTGTAGTCCGCATCAAGTGCAGGCGTTTCATTGTCCATGTGTCATCTCTGTGGAGTTTCATATATCCTTCCACAACCCCCACTTCGGCAAACATGGATTCCTCAGTTGAACATTCTTCTTCCATGAAATCTTCCAACTGCATGTCATCTTCCTCAAACAGTATCATTTCACTTTCAATTATATCTGTACTTGTATCATAGTCTGAATCGCTCAACCTCATCTTGGATTTGTTTCCTTTCACTTTGTACTTCTTTTCTTTTGCTTCTTCTTATTCTCCGTCCCCTTCTCCTCGGCTAGTCTCCTCTCTTCTTGCATCTTCTTTCTATTTTCTTTCTCCACTTTGCTTCTTTAGTTCCTCTCGCTGTTTTTCTCTTTCCTTTCCCGTCTTCCATTTCTCCTCTTCCATTTTGGCTATACTCTGTCCGTTTTTCTCATTTCCATCTCTGCTTTCCTTTTGATCTTCCTCTCCTTGTTGATTAGAGAGTAAATAAATTATTGTCCACTGATGAGCGATGGAAGCTTTTCCAGCGATGTCCTTCTCTTGCTGCCATTACTCCTGCGTTGCAAAGTAGGAAGAACGAAGGGATCTTTCAGTCTCAGATTGACTTGGCGTCTCCCCATCCCTTCACTGACTGCTTGTTACACATTGTATAAAGCTTCTTTTGTCCCCTTCGGTTTCCCACTCATTTTGAGACCTGGGAAAACACATTTTTGGGGGATAGATTAGTGTTCACTCCATGCCATACTTGAGTTTTTGTTTGAGTTGGCGTTTAAAGTCTCTAATTAAAACCAGTAGGTCATTTAGGCAAATCAACGTGCTGTTACACTGGGATATGCAATGTAACAGAATTTATTATCCCATCCAGTCACAGTGTACTAACCCCGGGCCAACCTGTCATAGCACTAGTCCCATAATGCCGACACCAAGTGGGACAGCTACTAGACCTAGATTGCCAGTTTGTTTTAAGTCTTCGGTATGACTTGGTCGGGAATTGAACCCACCATCTTCCATTTCCGAGGAGGACGCCTCACCACTAGGCCACTGAGATCGGTACCATGCTTGAAAATATCGTATTGTTTTGTTACCAGTAGATCTAGATGTAGCTTTATTAAGCTTTGCAAACAGCCTACCTCTGTCAAGAACAAGGTCTAGATTCTGTCTCAATACCTTAGCCTTCATTTGACCAGGGCTATCTATCATTTTGGACGCTGGCCGCGGCCAGGACCTCTACTGTAGAGCCCGTCCTCGGTGCGGCCGATTCGACCACATGTGGGCCCACATGAAAAATTACCCTGCCCTGGGTGCGGCCATCGACGTTTCTCCTAAAGTTTGTTTATGAGCGATATTTATACAATGTTAGGCTTAAAAACATGCATTTTAAAATACAGAAACCTCACTTGGTTGACAAAATAATGATATTTAGGTTGTGGTAAGAGCTAATGACAAACTCACCTGAAACTTCACAAAGGGATGTTTTCTGGGTTGAAAAGTTCAAACTCGCATCGCGTGTGTCGGAAAAGCGGGAAAGACAGGAAATGAAAGTGAAAGCATTGGCAGACCCAAAAGAAGCTACTGTGGTTTATTCATAGCCTTAAAGCAACTGGAATGCGAGTTATGAGAACTGGCCGCACCCCAGCTATGGCCGCGAGGGGGTCAAGCTACTCTAGATTGTTCATTGAACTGTCGTGGCAAGGCGCACGCCGTCCCATGTCAGAGAACTGGGGCTTAGGCAAGCATCCTCGCCAGAGCATACTGTTGATGTGTCCTCATGTGTCCTAATGGCCATGATGAAGTTGTATGGCATTGTTGGCGTCGGTTGTGCCCCGTCTAGCACTGGCATGGCATCGTCGGGTAGTGGCAAGTGTGCTGGGAGGCCGAAATGGCATCGGCAGCAGCGAGACGCATTCCTGGAATATGTACTATGCGAAACCTGAATTGCAAGGTTTTTTCTGTGAGATTCCGGAGGCGAGGGTTCGATATGGCGTCTAGGCTTCTGTCTCCAAATACCTTCAGAAGGGATTTGTGGTGTACTGCGACTATGAGATTGGGGCAACCAAGGACGAAGTGACGTGTTTTCTGGAGGGCGTCCACCACTGCTAGTGCTTCACCCTCAATTAGGGCGTATCTGGATTCAGCTGACGAGGTGAAGCGGCTTCCAACCAATGTTATTCGCCATCCAGTGCTGCAACAAAGTGGTCGCTGAGACTCGCGCAGACAGTGTTTCTGAAATAGCCAGTAACCCAGGTCTTCCTTGCTGAAGTCAGTAGCAAGGCAGGTGGGCAGGTTTCCATCGAAAATCTCCACACCTTTTCTGGTTTCATCGACGATCAACTGTTTTAGTTTCAGTGAATAGATCATTCAGGCGAGGCGTCCATGTGAAGCGTGAGTTTGGTTAACAGAGAACGGAAAGGTTGCACCCTCTCTACAGATGTGAATGCGTATGAAACCTGGTTGACAAGGCCGAACCAACAGCGTATGTCAGTAATGTTTTGTGGAGTGGGAAATTTCTCTGTAGCCTCCTGAGTCTGTGGGCATGGTGTCACACAGTTTGATGAGATCTCGAAACCTCCATATGTTACGGTTTTTCCCGCAAATTGGAACTTGCTGGGGTTGAGGATGATTCCGTTCCGTCCACATAGGTCAAGCCATTCCGCGGCCTGGAGGAAACATTCTTCAGTGGTGTCTGACCACATAATGGTGTCGTCTATGACTTTCTTTTTGAGGGTTGCCTTTTTGTAGTCGGACCATCTGTTAAGAAAGTATGCCAATTCCTTGCTCGTGCCAGCAGCTTATACATGTGAGCGTTTGACCTTTTCTGCCTTGGACGGGGTCACAGTCTGTACCGGAGGTGACGGTGTAGTAACCGGGTGAGCTGTCCGTGAATGTGGGTCAATGAAGCGTATGAGGACTGGTCACTTGTGACATGTTAGGGATACAGGGTGCCAAGAAGTTCACCAACCCAAGCAATCTTTGGGTCTCTTTGACATTTGTTGGCCTTAGCATGTCTTAATGTGCCTTGATTTTTTGTGGGTCTGGCTTGATTCCTTCTGCTGATATGTGTCTGCCCATGTTGTTTTTTTCTCTTCGGATTTCTTGAATTGGACCTTCCTGGGATTGAATTTGACTCCCCTTTCTCTGGCTCTTTGCATCACTTTGTTAATGATCTCATCATGCTCATCATCCGAGGCAGCTGCCATCAGCGTATCATCAGACAGACAATAGACTCAGTTGATGTCTTCGAATGTCTTGAAAGCTTGTTTTTGTGGAATTTCCGAGGCGCTGCTAATCCCAAATGGCGTGCGGCAAAATCTGTACCTGCCAATTAATGTATTAAAAGTGGTCACATATAAGCTTTCATCATCAAGCCGCACTTACCAGTACGAGTCTTCCTGGTCCAATATTATAAAGATTTTCTTTCCTCCTAGTGTTGAGGCGACTTGGTCGAAAGTGGGGATCTCAAACTCTTCCCCTTTGATACGCTTGTTCAAATCTTTTGGGTCCAAACACAAACGCAAGTCTCCATTTGACTTTTGGGCAATCACGAGACTATTGACCCATTCTGTCTGTTGATCCACTTGTGTTATAACATTTTCCTTCACCATACTCTCTAATTTCTCTTCAAGTTGTTTGTGTAGAGCTGGTGGCACACGCATTCACCAACCCTGGTGGCAGTCACCAACCCTAGCGGACGCACTCACCAGCAAAGTCATGGATGCGTCACTAGTCCAGACCATAGAGTAGGATACATTGAAATACAATGTAGAATGAAGTCTGTGAAAGCATACTGAGAGTGGGTGGTTGGCGGGAGCTCTGGTGTGGTTTGCTTCTTCTTTCCTTTCAAACATCTATCGTCCTTATCTCCCCTTCTTCTTTTTTATGTTTATTACTCTCTTGTAACACCTCTAATCTTCCGGCGCTCATATGACCTTATGCAGTTGCGAGCGCCGCAAAACCTCTACTAAAAAAAGCATACTGAGATGATAACTTTGTCTGGTGATGCGTCCGATTCTGCCGGCCATGCCGACACTTTCAAAATTTGGATCGATACCAAAATTTTAAATAGCTGAATTATAATATATGGTTTCTAATCTATAGATCTAATGATGGACGCGCCCCTGACCTTACTCTACTACTACTACATAATCTTGTTTCACCTCTAATTTTCAGCGCTTATACGATCTGAATTGTGTTGCAAGTGCTGTAAAATTCTTACTTAAACTAATCAGATCGCTCATGATTCATGTCATTCCCTTGTTCAATTATTTGAGCAATTTTCAGATTGTGAGCACAACTAGAAGGCCTATTTACCTAATATATATAGAAAATATAATAATAATAATTATAATAATAATAATAATAATAATTTTTTAAATAATAATAATAATAATAATAATTTTTAAATAATAATAATAATAATAATAATAATAATAATAATAATAATAATAATGATACTATTTTTGCATAATTTATGCTCTACAGCGTGCTCTGTGCGCTTTACAACGATCATCCGATACAAACCAAAAAAATGGACAATTTGGGAGAAATATATAATGGCTTATAAAATTAAGATTACGATACTGGCATGTTAATTTTAGTAAATTAAATCGGCCAACTAAATGCATACTGTATAGTTAGTTAATAGATTTAAGAAAGGACTGTGTTAAGTGCTGTTTTATTACCTCGAATAATGACCAATGAGACACAACAAAGAACACTGAAAATAAATGACGATTTCAGTGTCGTCGGTAATGCTAATTAGATCTAGTGCCAGTCAGTGTCTAAAATATTGCAGCTTAATTTCTTTATTTTTATTGTTATATATTAAATACAGAAAGACCCTCGGGTATAAAAAAAATGGAGGTTATGTCTCGAGGACATTTCCAATGAATAACGGTCTCCGACAAAGCTGTCCGATTTCACCACAACTATTTATTCTTGCTGCGGAAATTTTAGCTAAAAAAATAATCCAGAACAACTCCATAAGCGGTATCAACACCTACAATGTATCCGGGTTTGGAGTCTATTAAAATTAGTCAGTATGCAGACGACACAACCTTATCCATCGATTTGAGAAGAGCCATGTCCGTTCTGAATGAAGTGGCCCTTTTCCCGGCGATTTTCGAACGTTCCATCTTGCTTAGAATTGCTTTTATGATGGGGAGAACTTGACGTAGATCTACAAAATGTTGGATTTGAGCTAAGGGATAAATAAGTCTTCAAACGATAAACGGGTTTTCATTTATATAAAGACCCTCTTAATTCAGCTGGCCATTGGGTGGGGGGTGGGGGGGGGGGCAGGTATTGAAAGACTCTGTACATTATTCTTACATTTCAAAATTTACTACACGTGACAAACTCAAGAAAAAAATAATATTTTCCTGTCTATACGGGCGTAACACACCTGGTAGTCAGGAAAAGTGACACAGTTTCCATGGACTCTGTCTGACATGTTAAAATGTTATGTCAAATGAATATATGAATTTTTGGAAACCAGCTTGAGGATACATGGACTGTCCCCGTCGTGTTATGCCAGAAAAATTCTGAAATTATGCCAACTGAGCCCAAAACTGTGAAATTATGCGATTCTGTTAATTATAACAAAAATGATAACGGAAAATAATAAGAAATTATACAAAAAATGATCAAATTTTGCTAAATTATGCGGGGGTGGATAAAACCACGGGGACAGAATGGAATAAGAGTCCGATATCGAAGAATAAACACTCAAAGGCCAGAAAAATACTTGATATTTTTGCCAAGAGCGCAGGTGACAAATAAGCCTACATTTGAATGAAAAAAGAACTCATGGAACATATATATTTACTCAAATTTAATCATTTTTAACGCAGTAACATACACATAGTTGTAAAATGTCATAAACAAATTGGGACTTTTTCAATCACAATCATAAAATCAATAAATGTCATTCGGTGTCAATGGACTTTGTAGGTTTTGAAACCATTGGTTGTGTGATGCTCTTGGAACGATGATGAACGGGGGACGGGGAACGGGGGACGGGGGACCCATGTTTTGTTACATTTGCGTTGAGCCAGATTGTCCCCCAGCCTTTGCCGCCTGTAAGGCTCTGATAACATCCACTCTAAACGTTAACTTTTGGTCCTCATTAAGTTTCTTTACTGCAGGCAGCAGACTACTGAAAAACTCTCTGTCATCATCTGGCTTGTCACATTTATCGATAAAAGTCAACATTTTCTCTTCCAATTTGCGTTTTCTTGATTTGCTCTGTGGCCCTACTGAGCCACATGATGGAGCTGGTGACGGAGACTGACTCTCTGAGGCCAATCCCTCATGCTCCTCATCCACTTGCTCCACCTTGTGCCCATCTGGACTTTGATCCCGAGAAACAATGCTAACAAAGTCAAGACTATCTTCTGTAGCCCTACTTGATGGTGCCATCCGAAGAAAAGCAAGATGGTCAGCAAACATATATTTTCTCGTTTTGGTTGCCCCGGATCCTGACTTTCTTTGGATCTTTTTTTGACTCCTCGTGTACGTGTCTCTGATGCTCTTCCAACGCGCCTTGATTTCCAGGACTGAAAATAAACAATAAAAATGATAATGTCAGTTGCAGGGTTAGAAAAATAAAAAATAAAGTAATTTAAGATCCTACTTAGTTGGAAGATCAACTGCTGCAGAAGCGATAAGAAGAGTCTGCAAGGCAATTTGGGAAATCATGAACGATGCTTGTTTTCCTCGCCTAAATAAAGACGAATTCCTGAAAATTTCAGCTGGATTTGAAAAGCAAGCCAATTTCCCGCACAGCACTGGTGCAGTTGATGGGGGGGGGGGGGGAATAAAATAAATAAATAAATAAATATATATATATATATATATATATATATATATATATATATATATATATATATATATATATATATATATATATATATATATATATATATATATATATATATATATATATATATATAGATAGAGAGAGAGAGAGAGAGAGAGAGAGAGAGAGAGATCTGTTCGCATTGTGAAGCCTGCTCATAGTGGATCATTATATCACAACTTTACTATATACATTAATTTCCCTGTACTTCTGTCTGTTGTGAGCAGCAATTACTGCTTTCGTTCTGTTGACATTGAATCTTATTGGAAAAATTCCGATTCTACCATTATTGAACAGTCTAAACTGTGGAAAATGATACAGGACAAAGAAATTGAACCACCACCGCCAACCCAAATGCCAGTTTATCTAAATATATTATATGTATTAGTAGGAGATGAAGTGTTTGGCCTTACAATGAACTTTCTGAGACCATGTGGCGGCTAGTTTTTGGCACCAATAAAGAGGATTTTCAATAATAATTGTAGACTTTCTAGGGCCGGGAGATACGTAGAATGTGCATTTGGTATTCTTTCAAACAAATGGAGGATTTTCCAGAAACCGCTGAACGTCAATGTAGATTTTGCAAAAGATCTAGACCTTGTCAAAGCTTGCTGTGTGTTACACAATTTTGTTAAGGCAAAATTGCGGAGTAAATTTCAACTAAATGTTGCAAATAACAGGACTGGAAGAAATCACTGATACCGATACTAAAGTGCTTGTGGGGGAAGATATGCCCAGACTAACAGAGACAAAAAATTTGCAGACAACTTCAATAGTAATGAGGGCTAAGTTCCTTGGCAAGATATGCCTGATCTTTTGATCATCATTTTACTTCAAGAGAAGATTTATTCATTCAATGAACTGTCGCCAATGCTGCCCTTGCAAACACTGCAGTACCTCGGCCCTCGGCCACCCGCCCAATACAATATGTACCTGGCAATAGGCGGAAGGCCGAGATACATGTACTGCAGGAGTGTTTGCAAAAAGCAGAGGTGATTTTAAACCCCAGGGATTGTATTTTTCGCATTTTAGAATACTACTACAACAAAGATCTCTTTGAAACTTTCAGTATTCCTCAAAAATTAATTTTGACAGATTGCTGTGCAAAGTAAATCGCAATTATTGGTAATGTATCTTTTTGATCAGTGTTTTCATTTCAAAACGACCTTTTTTCGCCCAGTGGGGTCTACTCGTCAAAGAGAAAAAAAACCCTCAGTCATTCTTATCCGTCTAGCATGGTAACAGACGACACCAACACATCGTTTGCATTGAGTACAAGCATAATCGCTACCTCCATATTTTCCAACATCTGGGTTTCTGTTGGGTATCGTTCGCGCTCTTGCAGTTAAGCTGGTGACATCTGAATACACGTATTCTGAAGGCCTAATCATCCTACATTATTTTATATATTATTGAGACTGATTGTTGTTGGCAGGTCTGACACACACTGCATCACCCGGCAGTTGAACAAGTATCGATACTTTTCTGTTTGAAGATCATTCGGCACCCTTTAACATTTATTATAATCAAATCTAACTGCATACTAGCTAAAACACTGAATATTTGTAAATTACCAAACCTAGATCTTCTGGTGGAAAGGATCAATCTATATAATATTGATGTATAGGCCTATCAGTCGTATGGCGCTCATCTGGGAATCCATTCATATGGATTGTCCGGGTTCGAACCTCTGGCATCAAATTTTGTGGCTATGACACACACACACACACACACACACACACACACACAC